CTCAGCTCAAATCCTTAAGTCTAACTCTAGCTAGTCTAACTTAATCTCATATAACCCAATTCTAGCTTAACCTAACTCAGTTCATATAAGTATATTTATTCTCCCCAAATTAATCCACTTGAATTCACAAATATGAGTCTGAACTTAGCACAAATCCCCAAGTGTTAACTCTAACTAGTCTAATCTAATCTAGCCTAACCCTAGCTTGACCTAACATAAGTATATTTACTCTCTCTAAGTTACCCTATCACTTCAACTCTCAAATAATTCCACCTGAATCCACAAATATGAATCTAAATCACAAATCCCCAAGTTAATTCAATCATCATAAACTAGTCAACATCTGAAACTAAACATTCATGTCTCAACTCATAAATCCCTAAACATCAAACATTACAAGCAAATGATCCACAAGTGTTAACCAAGTAGCTGAAAGAAAACTCGGTGTCGCAATAAATCTCAGATAGCAACGAAATGTAAATTTATTTATCAACTGTTCTACTTAACCGTGTATATCTACCGCTTCAGCAACTCAACGGTATAAATTGCCGAAGCGCTAACTCAAACAACGGTCGGAATGGTCCAGAAATAGCTGGGAGCCACTATCCTAGTTCGACTTCCGCGCTTCCCTCAAACAATACCGAAAATATTTCCTCGCGGTGAACACGTCCGCCCGAGGCTGAGCAAACACTCATAAATTCCCGGGATCGATATACCGGGAAGCCTAATACTCCCTTTTGAATCGATGACTCGTCACGATTTGTTTGACGCGGCCAACGCGTGCTGTTTCTCGGAATCGATCCATCACGTTTATGACGATCAGGGTGTAAGAGCCTCCGGAAGAGGGCTCTTAACCTTTCCGACAGCTGACCGACACGACACGGTAACCGCAGGTACTCCAAATGGGTCGTTTACGGCTTAACTACCCGCCTCGCGAGTCAAACTGATCAACTTCGATTCTGGTCAATAGTCGTTTACGTACACGTTACACAATTACGAAAATTATATTGTTATTTGCAATTCTTAAGAGGACAGGAGAGAAGCTAATTAGTATGTTACTCGATAATTACCGTGATTGCAACAGTAATGGAGTCTCAAGTAGGAAGTCTAGTATCCCTAGGGATTATGGGGTTTGCTAAGTAGATGTTAGGTACTGTGATTTTCTGAGCATTAATATTCCTGTTCTAGGGGTCTTATAGGTCCCCACGGATTGTAGGATGTTTAACACTTGCTTTGAGGACTCTAACTCTGTAAGGACTCTGTAAGATTCACAATGGACCTTAGGATATTTTAGAATAGACACTTGCTTTCACTCTAGGATCACTGCACATAAGTCTAAAATCCCCAATACTTTTCCTAGAAGCCTATAGTGACCTCACTGGTTTTCTTAGGAACTAGGATCTTTATTTTTTGATGAAAGATTCTACTCTAGGATTACCACATTCTCTAGGTAGGTCTAGGTGTCACTATTCTACCTGTGGACTCTCTTTTTTAGGGATTCAAGGAATTTGACTGAAGTCCATAGGCACTAGGATGTGATGCACATTCTTTGAGAAACCTAGGACATCTATTAGTCTTCTTAGGTATCCTAGGATCTCCAAGACTGCTCATAGGTAGCTTAGGATCTCCATGACTATCTATAGGTAGATTAGGATCTCTATAACTCTTCATAGGCAGCTTAGAATCTTCAGGACTCTTCATAGGTAGCTTAGGATATCCAAAACTCTTCATAGGTAGCTTAGGATCTCCATGACTATCTACAGGTAGATTAGGATCTCTATAACTTTTCATAGGCAGCTTAGAATCTTCAGGACTCTTCATAGGTAGCTTAGGATCTCCATGACTATCTACAGGTAGATTAGGATCTCTATAACTTTTCATAGGCAGCTTAGAATCTTCAGGACTCTTCATAGGTAGCTTAGGATCTCCATGACTATCTACAGGTAGATTAGGATCTCTATAACTTTTCATAGGCAGCTTAGAATCTTCAGGACTCTTCATAGGTAGCTTAGGATCTCCATGACTATCTATAGGTAGATTAGGATCTCTATAACTCTTCATAGGCAGCTTAGAATCTTCAGGACTCCTCACAGGTAGCTTAGGATATCCAAAACTCTTCATAGGTAGCTTAGGATCTCCATGACTATCTACAGGTAGATTAGGATCTCTATAACTTTTCATAGGCAGCTTAGAATCTTCAGGACTCTTCATAGGTAGCTTAGGATCTCCATGACTATCTACAGGTAGATTAGGATCTCTATAACTTTTCATAGGCAGCTTAGAATCTTCAGGACTCTTCATAGGTAGCTTAGGATCTCCATGACTGTTCATAGGTAGATTAGGAACACCACATCTGCTCTTAGGTAATTTAGGAACTTCAGGACGGTTCATAGGTAGCATAGGATATCCTAAACTGTTCATAGATAGCTTAGGACCTCCATAACTGTCCATAGGTAGATTAGGAACACCATGTCAGTTCATAGGTGGCTTAGGACCTCCATAACTGTCCATAGGTAGATTAGGAACACCATGTCAGTTCATAGGTGGCTTAGGACCTCCATAACTGTCCATAGGTAGATTAGGAACACCATGTCAGTTCATAGGTGGCTTAGGACCTCCATAACTGTCCATAGGTAGATTAGGAACACCATGTCGGTTCATAAGTAGCTTAGGATCTCCATAACTATCCATAGGTAGATTAGGAACACCACATCTGCTCTTAGGTAATTTAGGAACTTCAGGACGGTTCATAGGTAGCATAGGATATCCTAAACTGTTCATAGATAGCTTAGGACCTCCATAACTGTCCATAGGTAGATTAGGAACACCATGTCAGTTCATAGGTGGCTTAGGACCTCCATAACTGTCCATAGGTAGATTAGGAACACCATGTCGGTTCATAGGTAGCTTAGGAACTCTAAGATTGTTCATAGGTAGCTTGAAAACTGCACAGTCCATAAATGATTTTGGATCCATCCTCACTAAGGACTCTAGGATCCTTACCAGGTACTATAAGTGTCCTAAGATTCTCATTCATAATAGAAATTCTAAAATGCATTTTAATGGCTTCATCAAATTTTTGAGTTGTCCCTACTACTTTCCTTAGGGACCTCAAGCTATCCACATTGTCTCTATGTATCCCAGAATCCTCACTACTAGAATACTACTTGTCCTACATAGTCCACTACTCCTAGATACCCTAGGTCCCCTAGGTACCCTAGAATCCTCACCCTGAGACCTCCACTACTTGTTCCACACGAAAAGAATGTACACTGTGTTTTCACATATACGTTGAACAAATTAAAATGAACGTTCACAAATTGTTATATAAATTGAAATATCTATTGATACCCATATTGACAAATAAATATTAAAATAACAAAGGCGTATAAATAAAAAAAATATCGTACAAAAGAATAATTAGTTTAGCAAAGGAATTTTGGGAATGTTAACCGCCTTTGAAACAAATGCCACAGAAAATAAATTCGTCAAATCCTGTCTCTCTGAACAGCCTAATTTTATCCCATCATTTCTCCTTGATATTCGAGAGGAAATTCCAGCACTTTTATCTTTGCATCCGTCCAAGTAATTTATAACGCGACGCATTAACCACACCCGTATTCTGTTTACAAACACTTGTCAAAAAACGCGGAACTGTTGACCCACTTCTTCATTATTGTTTCAGACGCAGAATTGTTTATCAACCTAGAGATGCTCTTTCGAAGTTCATCAGTTTGACTTTCGAGACTTATTATGCTAATCGAAGAGAGCTCTTTCGTCGTGCATTTGCGTCGTGATTTTTTAATTCGAATTAATTATACTGCAAACTTTAATCGCTTACACAGGAATATTTAAATCGGAAGGTGAGATAAATGTCAATGAGATGCGACTCTAACGTTTCCTACGCAGTTTGAACTTGTCAACCTTCAAAATGGCGGGCCTGGACTTACGTTAAAAAGCGTTTAATTTTACTCGACCGCGATACAATCGATCTTTACCAAACACAACAAAATGTCTTCCGTGGTCTCCGTTATTCAGGCTAACAATTTTTCATCGTATTTTAATACGAATAATCTCTAACGATGTCGCGTGAAAACTCGTTGCACTTTTATAGAACCGATATTACAAGCACTGCTGGCTGTAAAAATAGGAAAATCTGTAGGTGTCGGGTCTTTTCTTCTGAGTTAAATATAAGGATGACCATCGATGCACAACTTTATCACTCGTCTTAAACGTCTTATATGGAAGATCCTTACGATGTTAAAGGACCTTTGTTTCACATTCGATTGCCTCATCGTTGACCAAAATATTCGTTCCGAGTACCTCGGCTATTATTCAATTTCTCTGCCAATTTCTATTCTGTCGAAACACTTATTTCAGTTTTACAATTGTGTAATTAGAATTACAATGTAATTGTTATTTACAATGACTTAATTATTTTTAAAAACTCCATTAGCAATATCAATCTTCAGAAATATCAATGCGAAGATATATTTGTTTGGACAGAATTCTGGATTCAAAGATTTGTTACAACTTTACAGTTTAAATTTTAACATGGACAAAATATTTATATGAACTTTTATGCTAGATTTTATTATTGCCAATAACGTACTTTATTTAGAAAAAATTTTTGTTCACTTTTTTTATCTCTGTTAATCCGGCCATTACGCCCCTTTGTCCAAAGTTCCCAAAGAAAGCCGCAACTGCCATTATCTTCCCATTAGCTCGCATTAAATTGCGACATTCTTGCAAAAGTGTTTCAACCAAATTCAAAACTAATCCGTCGATTAACGAGTGATCAAAGATAAGCAGTATCGCAAAGTGTAACAATGTAACCAGTGCGAAACAATGCCTAACCACAGAGTCAAACTTTGCCCGAAACATCGGGTCACCAATGACGCTAAACTCGGTCCGCTGACCAAGATGCTCCTTGAACTCTAAATGAACTCTCCTGACGCAAATGTCACGGTGTAAAGAACTCTCTTGGTCCGTACTCTCACCAGGTTTGGAAAGTTCTCAGGAGCTCCGGAGATGAAACACGTAACACATGACACTGAAACGCGACATTCTCGCGATAGAATGGCGATATAACGAGCCGAACCGAGGTACACGCGAAACGAGTGACGGATCAGCTGTCGCGATCCGCTCGAGGTCGCGTGTGCTGTCGTACTGAGAGAACGCCAATCGAGCCGCCCTCCTACGACCCCAGGCCCCTCGTGCTCACCCACTGCTGCGAGCATGCTCTCTCTATCCTTCACGCTTTCTTTCGCTTCCTCTAAACTCGACATGTGCATCGTACTGCAGCCTCGAATTCCCTAAGATTCGATCGCGGACAGTGGGACACTTTTCTGCTCTGGATTTTACCTTTGATGTGCTTCTACTGGAGGCGGATTCTTCCTAGGAGGCGGATTTTGTTATCTGCTTATTGGGTTTTTAAAATAGTTTCGAATCCACTGGCAATAGTAGTCTGACGGTAGTTTGAAGGTGTAAGGTCTTCAGACTATGTCAGATTTTGTAATCTGTTGTGAGATAGAGCTACTTATAACTCATTGGTTTTTTATAATAGTTTCGAGTTTACTGGCAGTGATAGTGTAGTGGTAGTTTGAATGTGATAGGATTGCAGATGTGATGGCTACTCAAGAATAAAGCAACTATACTACTCAAGTTTTCTTGTTTACATTCTTCAGATTGGGTTTAGATCAAGTTTGTAGGATTGTCACACTGTGGCAAGTTTGAGTCTTCAACCTGTGTCTAGTTAGGATCCTCGAGTTATGTCAAGTTTGAGTCTCCAACCTATGACTACTTAAGGTCTTCAGACTATGTCAGATTTTGTAATCTGTTGTGAGATAGAGCTACTCATAACTCATTGGTTCTTCAAAACACTTTTGAATCTACAGACAATAGCAATTCGCAATGGTAGTTTGAATGTGACAGTTTGAATGTGAGATCTGATGGATATCTACTGTAGAATAAAAAGCTGCACATCAGAACTAATCTTTCCTTGCTCAAGGTTTTCACATTGTGTTCAGTTCAAGTTTTCAGAGTTGTTACATGTCAAATTCAAGTCTTCAGAATTATCACACTACAACAAGTTTGAGTCTTCAACCTGTGTTATGTTAAGGTCTTCAGACTGTGTCAAGTTCAAGTCTTCAGAATTATCACACTATATCAAGTTTGAGTCTTCAGCATGTGTCATGTTAAGGTCATCAGACTATGTCAAATTTAAGTTATCAAAATTATCACACTATATCAAGTTTGAGTCTTCAACCTGTGTCCAGTAAAGATCTTCAGACTATGTCAAGTTCAAGTTATCAAAATTATCATACTATATCAAGTTTGAGACTTCACTCTGTGTCCAGTTAAGGTCTTCAGACTATGTCAAGTTCAAATTATCAGAATTATCACACTATATCAAGTTTGAGACTTCACTCTGTGTCCAGTTAAGGTCTTCAGACTATGTCAAGTTCAAGTTATCAGAATTATCACACTATAACAAGTTTGAGTCTTCAATTTGTATCCAGTTAACGTCCTCAGACTATATCAAGTTCAAGTTATCAGAATTATCATATTATATCAAGTTTGAGTCTTCACTCCGTGTCCAGTTAAGGTCTTCAGACTATGTCAAGTTCAAGTAATCAGAATTGTCACATTATATCAAGTTTGAGTCTTCACTCTGTGTCCAGCTGAGGTCTTCAGACTATGTCAAGTTCAAGTTATCAGAATTATCACGCTATATCAAGTTTGAGTATTCAACCTGTGTCCAGTTAAGGTCATCAGATTATTTCCATCTCAAGTTATCAGAATTATCACACAAAATCAAGTTTGAGTCTTCGACCAGTGTCCCGTTAAAGTGTTCAAATTATGTCAAGTTGATGTCTTGATTCATCACACTATGTCCAAATACAATCTGCATCTTAATGGAAAGTCTGATCAAACTACCTACACCAAATTAGACTAACTATGTCTACTACAGTGCCTACATCACTAATAGATATTATAAAAAGACCACAATGAACATTAATTTGATCCTCTAATCATCTTTCATGAGACTTCACCATATAAACACATAGTTAATAGTTTTCACATGGATTTCCAACGAACAATTCAAAAGTTTGAAAAGACTTCTACAACATAATGAGTGAAACAACCCAGGTATAACCCTAACAAACTTTTGGTAGCTGATAACGAGTGTAGTAAAGAATTTCACGAGGAAGCAAAGTTTGGTAAGTTTGCGTGTTTGATGCTGGTACTTGGGGTGAAACTGGAGTCTCGAAGAATAGAGAAGTTCTTGAAGCTTGAGAATAGTTGAGAATGATGGACCTCGGTCAATTTTCAGCCGTAAGTCCTTGACGTTAATGCGCGATGAGATTACAGGGGTGAGTGTATTCGGGATTTGGAGATGGGAATTATGGGGGAAAATCGATTGGAAGTCCTTGATGAGGATGCAGGTATTTCGGATTCGGAGCGAGTTAGAAACTGTGGACCGACAATTGTTGGATGGAAGTCTCTTCGCGCGCAGAATACTGAACTTTGAACTTCTGCTCTCAGTTTTTAGATCAAAGTTTACACCTTTGATGGTTTCCGGATTCGAGGTGACTGCAACTTTAATGTCGTCCACTTCTGATAAGGAGTTTGCAGTATTAAGAACACTGGAAGTTTCTAGAAAATTGTGAGATTCATGAATCCAGACTTAAAAATAAGAGCTTCATATGAGATACGAATACCATATGAGATAAACCTGCATTCTAAAAGTTTGCTTACTCTCGAAAGCTGAACTCGTAACCACTGAAAATTTCAGCATGGTGATAAAAAGACTATAACTTCTGAGAGTGATAGAAGATTTAATGACAACCGTAAGCCATCGCCTCTCAGTTATCAGAATAACTACAGGTTAAAAATTCAGAGATAGTCGACTGCCATCAGCATAAAAAGCTTCTTCTGCCGCACCCTCCATAAACCCGCGCGCATGATCTATAAATTCCATCCATTCCGAACTATCTTAACCTCTCGAACCGTCGAACAAGCAACGAAAAACTAACGGGGAATTAACTCAATTTCGGACAAGTTTCTCTAACGAGGCATCTTTTCTTTTACGGGACAAAGGGACAGCTTGACCTTTCTAGCTTTTGAGCTTCCTTAGATTCAGCTCTTTCTGATTCTTAATATAGTCGCTGGGTGGTTGCCCTCTGTGCGAGTGACATTGCAGCGCGGAGAGGAGGATCAGTCTGAAAGGAGCCAGTCAGCCTTGAACGACACTCATCCGCGCCATCTGGCCGGAAACTCGATGGTACTGTCGTGGAAATGGCGGGGATCTGGATAAAAATCGTTCCGATTCTCGTTCGTCTTTTTGAAGAGTGACGCTTTGAGAATACACTTCGTTTTATGGGGTTTTTGATAAAACTGAATTGCTTGTTTGATAAATACATTTAGAGATCAATAGTTTATTCGTATAATTCGTTTAGTTATTATACCTTTTGTTATATTGCCGTATTCGTGGATTTTACTGTGTGGAATATGACAGTTTTTGAGATAATTTAACAGAGTTAGGTTAGAGTTAGGTTGGATTAGAGTTAGTTTAAGTTAGAGTTAATTTAGGTTAGAGTCGGATTAGGTTAGAATTAGTTTAAGTTAGAGTTAGGTTAGGTTAGAATTAGTTTAAGTCAGAGTTAGGTTAGGTTAGAGTTAGGTGATATTAGAGTTATGTTAATTGGAATTAGGTGATGTTAGAGTGAAGTTACGTTAGAGTTAGGTTAGATTAGAGTTAAGTTACGTAAGGGTTATGTAAGATTAGACTTAAGTTACGTAAGGGTTAAGTTAGATTAGAGTTAAGTTGCGTTAGGGTTAGGTTAGATTAGAATTAAGTTTCGTAAGGGTTAGGTTAGATTAGAGTTAAATTACGTAAGGGTTAGGTAAGATTAGAGTTAAGCACCGTAAGGGTTAGATTAGATTAATGTTTAGTTACGTTAGGATTAGGTTAGATTAGAGTTTAGTTACGTTAGGGTTAGGTTAGATTATAGTTTAGTTGAAGATAGCTTAGCGTTAGATTAAATTATAATTAGAGTTAGACTTCACTGTTGTCTGTTTTATTTCTGTTAAAATGCTTCTTGTGTTCTGTTTTCTTACGTCAATGTTTCTTTACGTCATATGCATAGCATACATGTATAACATTGACGTAAAATACCTGCTCCATGCTAGTAGTAATGTATTAAACAGAATAGTGAGTGTGAATCGCCTTTTGAGTGCAAAAATCATATTGACTGCAAAGTGAAGTCATCTTTTTGCTCTTAAATCGAACACTTTTACGATTAGAATAACTATTGTATAATAATCAAATGCTTTTACAATAATTATTGTATAATCACACAATTCTTACATTAACTTCTTTTTAATGATACGTTAAATTTTAATGAAATTTAAAAATTTTCTTTTTAAATGAGAAGTTAAGTTAAGTTTTAAGAATGAGGTTAGAAGTATAGTTCATTAAGGTTCAATTAACAAAATTGCAAAAAAAAATACTTTTCGAACATGGTTCAAACTGTACTCAGTTTTCATTTTCCTAAGTAAATTCGCGGACAGATTTTTCAAAAGTAAAGATACTGATTGAAGTGCCTGGAAACAAAAGTTACGTTTTTCTTGTTTTTTCGTTCGGAAAAGTAAACTGACATTTCCGAGATGTCTGACAGGTAAATATATTGATGCAATTGAAACTCGAGAACTGAAAATAAAATTCATAAAGGTTGCAGCGCGATATTTACAAAATGTGCACAAAATCTCGGATAAACTTGAACGAAATATTCGTGAAATGTTATTTCCCGTGAGTTTTTGTTGTTTTTTGTCGCATCGCCATTTCAAAAAATCGGAATTTCGTACGCGGGTATTTTATACTGGATATTATTTCTGTGCATAAAATGCCATATACCATTCTGTTTTTCAGCATAAGCTTTATATAACGATAAACGAACATTCAATCGTTCCATTTTTAATTCACACAACCTCTATTATTCCACGTTCTATTTTCTTCTATTGTCTCACCAATAATATTGTATAGAATTTCTCGCCCGAATATTATTGCTTTTTACTTGATTTTTATTATTCTATAACTTTCGATAAAGCGAACGTTACATTTGTTAAATAAAATAAAAAGGTGAATGTTTTT